ATTTGGAAGAAAGGGAGGCAGTAAACTTTCCTCTGTCAGCTTTGCACTGATGGCACAATGTGGAATTGAATGAAGAGGGGGGCTGGTGAGGGGTTGTGATCTAGGGCAGCTCAGAAATGTATTTTAAGAGCCTTGAAAGCCCACATTTAGTGCACAGACTGAACATTTCTAACTTCTTCTCTGCAAGATTCCCCCTCGCCCCAAAGGCATTCAACAAGGCTATTCCTTAGCCCACAGAGATGCTGTATTTCACCTTTACTCTTCTAACTGATGTCTTCTGTAACATAGTGGCCAGAACTCTACTAGTGTTTTACATGTGTGAGTTAAATTGTGTAATTCACCATGGCAAATGTCGGCACTGATCATGTTACAAGGGGCACATCAGACCGTGCAACTAAGAAAATTCCTAATCTTGCACTCCACAAACAAATCACCTAGAAATGGTTCTTTAATGGAAAATATTATTGCATCACCAAATGCAAACTATGAAGTAAAACATAAAGTATTTGGAATATGAATATTTCTTACAACAATCTACAGAACTTCAATAGGTTGAACATTGCATGTATTGCTACTATTCCAAAACAGAAATAGTAAAGTACCTACTAAATGGGGAAGCCCCCCCGCCCAATAAATTTCTCCCTCTGGAAATTATCATAGAAATCTGTGTCAACAGTGGTGATACCTATGCTTACCAGTATGACTAGATCACACATGTCTACAGATCAGTTGGTTATTTTGATTTGAAGTCATAGTCTGCATTCAGCTTTCTTTATCTCTCTAAATCTTGCTCTCTGACACATCTGCTATCCCTTCTACTGCGATTTCCCTGTTGTCAAATCTGTCTTGAATATTCTTTTTGCATGATTACTTTGATATTTTTCTCATAAAAAATGTAAACATGTAACCTTGCCTGTTCAGAAGGAAGTCCATTGAAGTCCAGACTTGCAGACAAATACATATGTAAGATTGCGCCTGAAGATTAAATAGTAAAATATGATTGATCCATAAGTTTACAATATACTGGATATGATATAAAAGGAAAACAAATTAACAGAGTGGGAAGAGAGAAAAAAACTGTGATCAAAATCTTTAAATTACATAGTCTCATCTGAATCATATGGTCAGAATAAGTCTGGTCAGATCTTCTGGTTGTTTTAAGTACACATATATAGTAGATCCCCCATATCTGCTGAAGATTGGTTCCATAATTTATAGTGGATACCTATATATACAGGAACCTTATATATGTGCGATTTACAAGGAGGCAGGACAAAGGCCACAAGGAAGTTCCCTTGTATATTGGATGTGGGGCTCCAATAAACCACAAGGAAGTGAAACTGCAGATGCCATTCGCACATATACAGGGTAGCGGGAGTGGTGGTGGTCTTATTGTACACTCGTCCTGACAAGCTCTGCCTGATGGATTAGTCACAACATGATTCCAGAACAACAGGTAAGTGGGGCTGATTGTAATTTTGATGGGAAGGGGATGCACTCTATGTGGGGCTACCTTTGAGGCTGACGCGGAAACTTCAGATGGTCCAGAATGCGGCAGCCAGGCTTCTTAGTGGGGTGAGAAAACACCAACATATCTCCCCCACTCTGGCTGCTTTGCACTGGTTGCCCGTCTGTTTCCGCACTGACTTCAAAGTGTTAATGATTACATATAAAGCCCTAAACGGTTTGGGACCTCAATACCTGGCAGATCGTCTTCTCCCACCCAGAACTACCCGAATCACCCGACACAGCCAGCAGGGACGGCTGAGGGGTCTGACGCCGAGGGAGGCCCGGAAGGAAAAAACAAGAAATCGGGCCTTCTCGGCAGTGGCCCCTCGGCTGTGGAACACCCTCCCCACTGAAATTCGGCTGGCACCCTCGCTGGGCATTTTCAAAAGCCAGCTGAAAACTTGGCTATTCAAGCAGGCCTTCCCTTCAGTCAATTAAGTCATTCTTATTTTTCTTCTTTTATTCTTGCCATCTTGGGACTCTTTGCTTTAAATTAACTGCTAAAATTGTAAATTTGTATTAC